TTCACATTGAGATGAATGAAGAGGAAAGGTGTCGTCAGGATGACTTGTCAAGCTGATTTAAAAGGTTTGAGGCAGTATGACAGGACACATTTGAAAAAGGGCAGGTAATTCAGTATGAGCTTGCCTTACCAATGCCTTTAACAGGTGTCAATCATATCAAACTGTCTCATTGGCAAAAATGTAAGGTGCAGCCAAGAATCATTTTAAAGAAATTTTCAGATTCTTGGTAGACATTTTCTTACCTTGGTAGACATGGGTTGGCGTAGCATGCACATATTAATCTGTATGGCAATTATTCAGTACTACACACACACACACACACACACTTTACTATGTAAAAGTACTGTATTTTCTTTCGGTAACAGGTTGATAGACAAATTTAAATGTCAGAAAAAGTTACACAAATTACATGGTAATACGTAGCAATGTTGCTACATAAGATAGGCCTACTTTCTGTTTTATATGAAATATAATAAATATTTAGTAGAAATCAAAAATCTTCAAAAATTGTATATTCCTTTTTGCTGTGTGCGTGTCCAAGTTAAGGTAATATCAATGTATTTTAATATAACTGGTATTTTAAGAGTACTAACAGTCTTTCAGTTGCAAAATGTGTTTAGGATGTTACCTGTAACATTAGTACAGAGTCGTTCACAATTAAGCTTCACATGCAGGCGTTGAATTTAATCTTCTTTATCAGTGACAGGCGTGCGAAGTAATTGGCAAGTTTGGTTAGATTGAAGGTAAATATCCACTTTATTCAGCGATTGTTTCTATGTTCTAACGTTTGTCTTTAATGTTTTGTCGACAGTGAAACGCAGCCTTAAATGATTCACCGCGTGTCGAGCTGTAGATAATCGCGCTAATGATTCAAAACTGATTCGAGAACCGACTCAAAAGAGTGATTCATTCACGAATTAATTGTCGTGTCAAGGTAAAATGATTCTGCTGATTAATCAATCAAATTGTTTCGCTAATGAAAACCTACATGATTTAAAACTAGCGACGCCACGACCTCCTTGAGAGATTTATCTTAATTAATATTGTTGCATTATTTTGCCGTAATGACCAGCTGTAACGTTACATTGTTACAAACTTACCAGCTATTGATTCGAAATATTGGCTTGAGTTGAAACTTTTGATTGTATTGTTATTTTCAATCAATTATACAGTTTAGAAGTCATAAATTGGCGCGCTTTTTCGCGACCGTTGAAACCAGTAAACAAACAACCATGGTCTCCAGTACAAATACGTAAGATATAACATATAAATTTGGTCCTATTGTCTTTAAAGCTCGACTTAATATCTCTTTTAATATCAATCATGATGTCAAACCATGTTTGCTTTGTAGAGCATTAACTTCTACACTATGTGCTATTGACCAAGAGAGGACGCTGTTTCTCAGCAGTCAGCTGCCTTGAGTTGGAGGTGAGAATTGTTTACTACACAGGTGAGATGTTTAATTTCAAACCTAGAAGATGCTATCTAAAATGGGTGACCTTTAAATTGCTTACAAGTTATGCAAGAATGATATGAATGCATGTGAAATAGAAAATTAAAAGGAGAGAGTGGAGAAATGCTAGATCATCCCTCCTACTCCTTGCACACGTGCATCCTCAGAGAGTCTTTTCCAGATTATGCAAAACCAGATCTGCCAGAAATGGAGAGGACATGACGTGACATTTCCATTCAGTGACTCTGAGAGAAACCACTACATAAGACCTGCCTCCTCATAAACCTGTGAACCGGGCAGATACACGGCAGTCCCAGCTCAACCCCTGCATCCCGCCAGCTCTTTCTCTCTCTCTATTTGCAGACAGCAACGGCGTCCTGTGATTTCTCTTGATGCTCTGGACTTCCATTGACTGATCAAACTGTGCAATCAGATCTCAACTGAGCCCACAACCAATTGACTTATTAGAAAATCTGTGCAAGTTTCTGTCTCCTGGATTCAGGTCAGTAGAGCATGGACACTATAGAAATTAGATTATTTTGTTTAAATGTATTTTATTTTAATATACAAAAATGCAATTATTCTAGAATTTCAATTACTTTTTTTTTTCATTTAAAAAGAGTACTAAAATAGTTGCATGCAATATTCCTTTATGGGATATAGTAAACATCTGGTAAACATTAAACTTTAGTTATAATTCAGTTGTTATTTGAGTGTTGTCATCTTAAACATGACTCTGTTAAGACGATATTCAAAGATTTGAGGAAGGTTTTGCTTTAGTAGCTACAGTGTTAAGATCCAACTTGTTGTCAGGAATTTGTGTAAATCCCACAACTGAAATATGCTCTATAAATTCAGTCATTCTTATGCACATTTTAAGTTTCCAAGTATATGAAAATAACATAAAATACATGTAATCATGATAGTATGAATAAAATGTAGTGATTTCATTCCTTGGCCTGATATATTTTGTCATTCCTGTGGAAATATACAATTAACTATTGCCCATTTTAAGTTATAACAATACAAAAATAACAAAAACATAAATTATGTACAAAAATGCATAAACATATAGAAAAAAAGCAATGAGTTATATTTCTCAATCTTATATATTTTGACACATGATAATATTTAGAATTTAATTCCTACATTTTCTAATATAAACATTGTTTGATATTATTTCTGCCCTGTTCTGTTTCATGGAAACAGAAAACATTGAGGATTAAAGTGAGATTTGCTTTATTTTAGTGTAATAAAATGCACATTTTAAAAACCTGCAAATTAATGTATACTCTCTCTTTCAGTTTTTCTTGCTCTCTTCACCTCTCACACTTTCTAGCCATGCTGAGAGGAGGGATCACAAGGGTGTATTACTGATGTATTTGATGTCAGATTAAAAAAAAATATTGAGCTTGTGATAACCACAGACCTTATTTTAGGCATTTAACCAAAAATCCATTTAAAAAAAACCCACTTCAAGATGAAGGAACCAGAAGTGCTAAAATACTAGTTTCTGGGTTTTTTTGGCCCACAAAAATAAGGCATTCTTGCAGCACTCTATTACATCAATAAATCATATTAATGTAGCAATGAAATCTGATTTAACAGTCTCCTGTATGTGCAGTGCCGTAATGCTGATTGAGAATTGCATATCAAATAACAAAGCTCTCTCAGTCTGCATGCAAGTTATTTAGAATCAAAAGCACATTTTTACTGGTTTTTATTGCTGATGTTGTGTTTGCCTGTGGGTTTTCTCAAAATAATTGTTCTTCTTTTGCTTAAAAAAAAAAGATAAATATGAAAATGCTTATTGAGATGGTGTTTAGGAGCAACATACTTGATTTCTTGTCCATCATTTGGGGAAAAATAGATTTTACTGATTTCAAATTTGTTTTCTTATCATCTTGAGGAGAGGTGGGCTGTTACTTTTCAAAGCAAGAGTTTTTGTGTCCTGGATCAATAAGCAACCACCTTGCACAACCCAGAATTGTATGACACCTTGTTTAAAATGCATTTACTTTCTGTCACATTTATGCACTTCTTTTATCTCTTCACTTGTTTTATCCTACTTCATTTTTCATCTTCTCTCTCTCCATTTGACAGCCCCTTTCCCCTCCTATGTTTGCTCTCTCTTACTCATCCACATGCAAAGAATGAAAGTCCACAGCCATTGTCACTCTGCTTCGACTGAAAGTCTTTGCTCTGTTGTAAATTAGTCTCTGATGATCTGCTTGTGTGCTGGAACCACACCAGCGAAAGAGAGACAGATGTAGAGATACGAGAGCTTGGAGAATTAGAGACTGGACAGCAGAAGAGAAGTGAAGAGATGGAAGGGCTGAGTACGTGCAGAAGTGCCGCTGCTCAGTTTAGATGCCAAGTTTCTCTGTGTTCTTGTCCAGAAGGCAGAAGGAACACAGAGAACATGAGTGGGTGTCAGACGAACCTCTGGCAAACTCAGCAGTTTGTGTTACACTACAGATGTGTCAGAGTTTACTGGAATGGTAAAAATGACTGATTTCACGTCCAAATTTACAAATGTTTTTCAAAACACAGACTTACAAGAAGAATGTTCTTTTCAAAGACCTTCCCAAAGTAATTATATTTTGCACTCTATTTGAGTCAAATAAATGCAATTTAGTTTGAAACAATGTCAAACTGAATGTCATTTTGTTTTCTGCTGTTTTTAGATGTCAGTTACCTAACTCCTAGTGTAAACTTGTGACATAACCAGACAGCCAGCCAGCCAGCCAGCCAGCCAGCCAGCCAGCCAGCCTAAAACACTTGCAGACAAAGAAACAAATATCTGAGCACAGACTCACTAAATGACATTTAGTCTTTGGCATCATTTCAACTGTCTGAATGTTTGTATGATGAGTATTCACACGTGCAGATGTTTAGAAAATGGATTTTAACATAGCATTATAGTTTGAAAGCAAAAATGACTAGATTTTCAAAAATTACTAGATCACTAACTTTAAGAATAATCATTAGCATATTCCCTCTAAAAAAAATCAGCATTATTACTCCAAAGCAGAATCAAGAGCTTTTACAGTAAGTTTTTTTTTTGTGTGGAAACTTCCATGTTTCCATGAGAAGGCCAACTGATATAGATGTGGTTTGCTACTTCTTTGCCTTGCAGTTCAGCCTTAGGTTGCGACTCCAATATCAAATTTCAGTTGATGGTCTCATGGCAAGGTGCTCAGCAGACATTATGGACCGTTTTGGCTAGACATTTGGAAGTGCTTGTGTAAATGGTGGAGAGAGTTTGTGTTCTAGCCAATGCACAGTTACGGTTCGCTGTGGCTGTTAAAGATCCAAAACCCTCATGCGAGATGACTCGTGTCCTGCATGAGCCAAAGAGTCAGGCTCGTTCATTAAAAACCCATGGAATAGGAGATTGTAGCTGGCTAGTTAAACATATCGAAGGCTTATTATAAGCATCTGAAAAACATACTGGACTTGCATGTACATGAAAAACTGATAAAACTTGTCTCAAAGCCTGTATATGCTCTACATCCAATTTACCTGTTCTGCATTTATGTTTTAGATGCAGGTGAATGAAAACCAAATGGAGAACATTCGTCTGCGTCCGCTCTCTGGTGCCCATGCCGGCCGTATGCCAGTGACGGAGGGAGTGATAGAGGTGAAGTTTAAGGAAGGATGGGGTCACATCTGCAACACTGGCTGGACCACCAAGAACTCTCGTGTGGTGTGTGGCATGATGGGATTCCCTTCACAGAGAACTATGGGGAAGAAGCCAAGCAGGTAAAGGACATTTAAAGAATACAAGGGTCAGATTGTATGCTTGTCCAATAAAACCTCTTGGACCATATTTATCAAATGTTTGGAACTCTATAGGATTAGTAAAAAACTTAGTCTTAAGTGATATTTGAAAACACTTAAGCTGCACTTAAAATGTTGTTGTTGTTTTATTTTTACAGTGGTGCTATACACTGTAAAAATGTTATGTGCTATGTACTTTTAAAAAAATATGGTAACAATATTACACACAATATTTTTGAGTAGTTTTTAAGGCTCGATTTCTTTAATGGAATCTACCAGAATAAATCATCACCTACATTTTTTTTTTTATATGACACAATGAATTTAATATTATTAGTCAAATGTGCTCATTTATTTTAAGTTGATTCTCAAAAGTTTGTGATTTTGAGTAAGGCCTGTTTTGACTTATTTGAGTTATCTTATACAAAATTAAAAATAATATACAGCTTAACAGCTCAAGTAGGAAAAAATGTGTTACTGCTCTGGCATTAACAAGGCTGCTGCTTATTAAACAAAGCATCATGCCTCATAATATTAGTACATGCAGTTATCCACAACCTAACCATAAGCTCTACTCTTCTGCACAATGGTAACGACAGAAACTTCACAGAAACTCTTTCAAATGTCAAACATAACTGAACATTAAACATAAACAGATGTTTCCCTTCACTCAAAAACACATAAAATAGCAGTTAATTTCAATATTTACCCTCCATATCCAGCCATATGCAAAGCATGCTGGTAACTTACAATCACTGCCAAAATAAAACTGCATAATTGAGCTAATTCGCTTGAAATAAATAGGTAGCCTTCTTTGCTTAATTTTTTCAGCTTAATCAGTTCCTCACTTCAAGCCTCATAACTGCTCAAGTTTCCTTAAAAAAAGAGGAAAACATATCTCTTTTTTTATTAGTGAAATGTTCTCAATATTTTCAATACAACACTGAACCACATTTAAAAAAAAAAAAAAAGCACACTATTTTAATTATCACCTTAATTTTAAATGAAAATGACAAGACCTATGATTAATTTTTTACAATGTAGAAGAACCAATTTTGGTTCTCCAAAGAACCTTTAATTGAACAGTCTTTAAAATAACCTTTACTTTCTTAGTGTGAAGAACATTTAAATAATCTGAATAACTGTTTTCCACTTTATATGCAAACTTTTGAGCAATGGAAAAGTTCTATAGCTGTTTAAGGTTCTTAATGGAACCATCAATGTCAATAATAAAAAGTGCATATAAAATTAAAGCTGCAAGCAGCGATGAAAGGGCCCTCGCACCCGGGCTCACCGCCACCCGGTGGCCATAGGAAAACAGCGAACAGTGGGCAATATGCTTTTAAAGTGGTAAATATAGGAGGAATATGTCAAAGTAATTTATATGTGCCATATGCTGCCAACAGGTGGCGCTATGATTATTACTGAATATTGGCCTTGAGACGTGTTCAGGCCAGGACTCTTATCAAACGTGATATTTGGGGCAGATCGGACATTGCACGTTAAAGTTAGTGTAAAACAAGTAATTTCCTGTTGCCAGCAGGTGGCGCTATGACTATAAATGAATATTGGCCTTAAGATGTGTTCAGGCCAGGACTCTTATCAAACATGTGAAGTTCGGGGCAGATTGGTTATTGTATGCATGAGTTACAACAGCTCCCTCTTTCATGGTATTAATAGCATGATTTAGCACTTTAGTAAGTGTTGCTAGCATGTTTAAGCATATTTCTAGCATGCAATATTTTACTGTGTTCAGGGCTGGATTGGTAATCGGGCATAGGCCTACTGGGCATTTTCCCGGTGGGCCGACAGAACGTTTTTTTTTGCCAAGGACCATCACGCAGGGACAGCGAACAGACAGCGAACATACATTGGTTTGTCTCCTGTATTGACAGCGTAAACCATCCAATCACAATGTGCTATAGACGGAGCGATGAAGTAGCCTATTTTGCTCCACCTATATAAAGATTGCTTCACTCCAACTTCTTCCCCGTCGGCTTTTCCCTCGTTTTCACAGCAGCTTTATCAAGAACAGGCTTGCTCTGCGGTGAGTGATGCTGGCCAAAGAGCCAGGCAGGAGGAGAAGAAGAGAGTAGTTGAATCTGGAGGCAGGCATCTAACCTATCCTAATGTGTGTGCGCACTATGAGTGTACAATACAAAAACACTTTTTAATAAAACGTAAATTCGTCCCCCGCGATTTTTTTGGCCAAGACAAGTCAAGTGTGTTCATAGAGGATTCCATGGGCTAATGCGAATAAATCTAGATTTAACTTCAAAAAGACACGATATTGTCTGACCTGACATTTTATTCTTATCCAAAACAACTAGATGCAATGATACATATCTATACACTACCAGTCAAAAGTTTTTGAACAGTAAGATTTTTAATGTTTTTTAAAGAATTCTCTTCAGCTCACCAAGCCTGCATTTATTTGATCCAAAATACAGCAATAATGAATGTTTCTTGAGCAGCAAATCAGCATATTAGAATGATTTCTAAAGGATCATGTGACACTGAAGACTGGAGTAATGATGCTGAAAATTCAGCTTTGATCACAGAAATAAATTACAGTTTAAGAGATATTCACATAGAAAACAGTTATTTTAAATAGTAAAATATTTCACAATATCACTGCTTTTGCTGTATTTAGGATCAAATAAATGCAGGCTTAGTGAGCAGAAGATAATTATTTAACCCCTTAACTGCCACAGTCCCGCTAGCGGGACGCCTAAGTTTACTTCAATATATTACAATTAAATCCTAATCTAATCATGACAAACTATATATCGTTGGAAAGGTCTAAGACTCCTAAACAGATATTTTACCACTGTTTGTTGTTAAAAATTATATAGGAACAGTAATAGATTAATTTATTACAAGAGTGCACCTCAAAACATATACATCATAACAGGAGTTCTTCTTCTCTTCCTTTTTCCCTATCACATGTTTTAGTAATCATCATAAATTATAAATCATTTGAAAGCTTAAAACCACCAAATTCATCTTGTGAAAACCATTTTGAAATCGGACACTGCCTTACCAAGGAAATGGTACTTTAAAATCTTTTAGCGGGCTCCTCCCCCTTAGTAGGAGGTGTCATATTCCAAATGTATTACGGTTTTTTATAATCAAAACTTTCCATAATCTTGACAAAATACATATCGTTGGAAAGGTCTGAGTCTCAAGATTCCATATTTCCATATTTTGTGATAGTAGTAATATTGAGAAATAAATTAATACATTTGTGACAGAACAAAGCATCCAAAAAATTCAATGGAGATTGGATGGCACCCGGTGGCTGTTTGTGGTATAACGCCTAAACAAAATTGCATAGGAACCTTCATTTTTTTTAAATATCAACTTCAAATTTGGAACACAGCTTATTTACACATATGGCTTTAATTTTATAGCAATTTTGGATTAAAACCTATTTTATAAAATATTTATTTTATATAAAATAAAATACAAATAGTACAGTACATTTTCTTTACAGTACATTTAAACTTCTATAACTTTTTTTATACTTTCATTTTTTGAAATGGTTTCACTTCTGCAATAATCTGCAGATTGTCTTTAAAAAGAGATCAACATTAGGTCTGTATTCAAAAGCGTTTATGAATTATAACAATTTAAGTTTGAATGTATACTGTATATCGAAGTGGTGGTGGGCCGCCTGGACCAAAAAATGCCAGGGCCAATTTTTTGTCCCAGTCCAGCCCTGACTGTGTTGCTAATAGTGCTATGACTATAGCTGAATTTTGGCATGTAGATGTGTTCAGGCCAGGACTCTCATCAAACATGTTAAGTTTCGGGCAGATTGGACACTGCATGCCTGAGTTACATCAGGAAAACACCCTTTGAATGTGTACAGGTGGCGCTATCGAGCCATTTTGCCACACCCACTTCTGAAACCCATAGCAGATGTAAATTTCGCCAGTTCTGACACGTGTGCAAAGTTTCATGAGTTTTGGAGCATGTTTAGACCCTCAAAAATGGAAGCAATTCCAAATGGGTCCTCACACCATCGGTGCTCGTGCCCTATAAGAAATGGAGCAATTCCTATAGGGTCCTCACACCATCGGTACTCGGGCCCTAATAATAAGAAACGGAGCAATTCCAATAGGGTTCTCACACCATCGGTGCTCAGGCCCTAATAATAAGAAACGGAGCAATTCCTTTAGGGTCCTCACACCATCAGTACTCGGGCCCTAATAATAAGAAACGGAGCAATTCCTTTAGGGTCCTCACACCATCGGTGCTCAGGCCCTAATAATAAGAAATGGAGCAATTCCTTTAGGGTCCTCACACCATCAGTACTCGGGCCCTAATAATAAGAAATGGAGCAATTCCTTTAGGGTCCTCACACCATCGGTGCTCAGGCCCTAATAATAAGAAATGGAGCAATTCCTTTAGGGTCCTCACACCATCGGTACTCGGGCCCTAATAATAAGAAATGGAGCAATTCCTTTAGGGTCCTCACACCATCAGTACTCGGGCCCTAATAATAAGAAACGGAGCAATTCCTTTAGGGTCCTCACACCATCAGTACTCTGGCCCTAATAATAAAAAACGGAGCAATTCCAATAGGGTCCTCACACCATCGGTGCTCGAGCCCTAATAATAAGAAACGGAGCAATTCCTATAGGGTCCTCACACCATCGGTGCTCGGGCCCTAAATAAGTGGCTAGTACCAAATTCAACTGGTGATTTTTAGTGGATGTATGACATAATTTCTCCTCAAGCTCACATAGATGTCCTCGCAGAGTAATCGCAGGTTTGTTCATCACATTAAAGAACATGAGATCCACTAATATTTGACAACCACAAATTGGCACATTACTTTTGAACGGAAAACCTTATCACAAACGTCTTTTTTGTGAAATGTTTTTCTCAAAAAGGTTGCTTATGGTATCTTTCTTTATGTTACATACCACTTGGCTTGATATTTTGTTATATAATGTAGTGGTTTATGGGGCAATTTCAGGTATTTTATAACTTTAAACCAAAATAAATATTGTATTTTACAGTTGAAGCCACTTTGTGATCAAAACAGCCTTTTAAAAGCATCCTGGTCTGTTTGGAATTCCTGTCTAATTTGCGGCTGACTGGCTTCCTCTAAATTATCATTTGTCTGTGTGATCTAAACTATTTTGGATTCTTAGGGGACGTTATTGTGCATTTATTTTTTTATGTATATGTTATTTGAAACCTATTTTTAGTGTTTGCATTTTAACCAGGGCATCCAGAGATTCAAAAAATCGTTTCAAATGCATTTTTGTCTTTTTTACTGCAACACCTTATAGATAGCTTTTCTTCAAATACTCGAAATGAAGAGCTCATATACACCATTAAGAAGATGTATAGTTACTGCATCTGTTCAGGCACTCTTAAAAAGATGGAAAATGTCTCTATTTCATGAACCTCGGCCAATAAATCATTATAGATCATCATATACTTCCATGCTCCGGCCAAAAAATACTTTTGTAAGAATCTGCTTATGCAAGTAAGAATACGTAGTTATGAAACCTGGCAGCATATGTGAGCACACACACACACATCTGGATGGATATATTAAGTGTCAGAGAAAGATCCATTATTGCAGACCCCAGTGTTTCGTGGGGTCATATAAGTGATGTTGTTCTGCTGGCCGTCCGTACAGCAGTTTCTGTGCATTGTCACATGAAGTAATGACGAATGTTTACAAAGCCCTGAAAAAAGTGAAATCAATCCCATATGTGGTCACTGGGCCTCTGGCCAACGAGTTTTTAACTGTGTGAGGGATGTGAAAGTTTTATCATTGTGCCACTGAAAAATGTACCATGGATTAGTGAGGCCCTGATGGGAATTTCATACTGAGCTGCTGTATTTGTTTTTGTTTCTCTGATATGTAATAAAATGTTATGTTAATTTGATCTGATCCTGCACCATTTTTACTGCAAACCAGGCTGTAACCATCATATTATAAATGGCCAAATTGCTGCTGTTTGATATTAGGATGCCAAAAAGTTACAAAAAATTATTTTAGGGCTTCCAAACAGACCATGATGCTTTTAAAATTCTGTTTTGATCACAAAGTGGTTTTAACTATTAAAATACATATTTATTTTGACCAAAAACTACTTGGACCACTACATTATAAAACTAAATATTAAGTGACATTTAATATAAACAAAGATAGCATAAGCACAATTTAAAAAAGAATCTGAAAATGACATCAAAACAGTGAAACAGTTTTTTAACTGTGAAAAAGTGTGATTAGTTGACAACTGTTTTACAATAGAAATTTAAATGACCAAACTGCTCAACTTTTTTGACAGATTTTGCCATTTTGAATTGAAAATATAGGATGAATCATTTACATGTTTCATGTAATTCATAACTGAATGTGGCAAGACAAGAATCATTTTGCCGTTTTGCAAATGATGCACATTATACACAAATTCACACTTACTTAGATGCTTGTTTTAAAATAAAAATATTATTTGCAAATAGTTCAAACTGATTACAAAAAAAAAGATCTTTTACTGTTTGTCGTTTTCTTTATTCTCCTAAATCCATTTAAACCACTCAATTGTTTAATTTCTTGGTTAATTTCCAATTTTTGAAGAGGACACAAATAATACAACCCCTCCCCACCCCCCCCCCCCACCCTCCCCAGTTCCCCCTTGTCAAACGCATCACAACACCACAACCACACTACACAAATTCACACTTACTTAGATGCTTGTTTTAAAATAAAAATATTATTTGCAAATAGTTCAAACTGATTACAAAAAAAAAGATCTTTTACTGTTTGTCGTTTTCTTTATTCTCCTAAATCCATTTAAACCACTCAATTGTTTAATTTCTTGGTTAATTTCCAATTTTTGAAGAGGACACAAATAATACAACCCCCCCCCCCCCCCCCCCCCGGATTCCGGATTTCCGCCTATGCAAACACCTAGCAACGCAATAACAACTGCATAGAAACACGCTAAATACCACTCTGAACACCTTAGAGGCAATGCTCTAGCAACCACCCAATACACCCCAGCTTGTGCATGTTTTTGATGATTCTATAATAAGGCTGAATGTGATTGCATTGCTTTGTTCTGCTTTGCTTGTTTGGCTTCTCTCCTCCATCTGCATTGGAACAATCATCCACATCTGAACTCTGAAACACTTACTCCGATTCACAGCAGATGGTGAAATGTAAGCAGTCTGTGACGGGACAGAAAAACAAGTAAGGATCTGAGAATTCACGTGTGCATCCTGATTGTTTGAGGGAATAGCTATGATTTCAACCAATGAGCTCTCTGCATGTGTATTAAACTGAATGAGTGACTCATACCTCCTTAGACATGAGCTCAAGTCCTCAGCACGCTGAAGTTAAGCTCCAAAAACACACTCCTGCTGGCTGTTCTTCATTCTGACTGATGAAAAATCCTCTCTTGACAGAAGGCCATTTTATTTACACTTAATGTTGCTTAATATTAAAGTCTACCAGCTGACTAAACACAAGTAATCTTCAGTGAATGAAAAAGATGCCATTTATCTTTTCCATTGCTTTTAAATGATTGTGGGCTCAGACAATTTACTGGAAGGAAATGTGTAAAATACTGTACTTCTCTTCATCTTTGTAATTATGACATTCATATCAGGTTTGTGCCATAACTGCTTGGCTAGATACACTTCAGAAATAGCTCACTATCTTACACTTCTCAGATGAGAAATTCAGTTTAAAAAAGTGAAATTTTGCAGTGAAATTATTTGTTTGCTTACTTGGTTTTATATTTTGTTATGCAAGGACATTCAGACATTTGTAAACGTGTAAATAATTTTTGGGGCCAATGTACATAGATCTTATTCTCCAATCTTTTATTTGTTTTTTTTATTCGATCATTTAATTGGACAGATTGCTTTGCTCTGGAACGAATATGTAACACACACACACACACTCACGTGAGCGGAAAGTATCCTCTCTCTCAAGAGTGTGATAAAACCTTAGTGACTCAACCTCATAACGCCACTCACTACAGTAATATTACTCCATACCAGATTTCTCATGGTCATGTCATCGCCTGCACGAGAGTCTAGAACGTGTCATAAATCTGGTGAACCAATGTAAAAGTCTAGCTTTTCATAAAGCAAATACCGCAGTGTAAGCTAGACATGCTGCGGGTGAATTTTTGGAAAACTGTCAAGAACATGTCTGGGTCATATTTCATCAGATAATAGAAAGAAATAAGAGATGATCTTTTAAAAGAAAATTACCCCCTCCCCCCATATTCATTACCGCAATACAAAAAAACTGTAATTCTGTCTTGACAACTCTCAGAGAGTTTAGCATGGTAATGTACATGACAATGTTAATGTGTTTGGTCTTGGCGGAATAGATCTGCAACGCTTCTGCTGCTACAGAGCAAGTACCAAGACTTGCTACTGCCAATACATCCACAGACATGTTTGTGTTTATAAAATAACCCCTATATGTAAAATACATTAATCACCCCATAGCAGATCTATACAGGTGGAGCTGGGGAAGGTGGAGGGTTTCTGAAGCATGCTGAAACTGCTACAGCAAACACTAGCGGAGTATTTGAATGTTGAGAAGCAAGCTCATTGGCTGCTGATGCGAAAGAATCCAATCAGCTGCGCCATGTGAATAATGATATCATTATGTCAGACTGAGTTAGACCTATCGACTTGAGCTGATCTAGAGTTTCATGACAGAACTTTGTATGCATGTGTGTATGCACTAAATAAAATTTTTTTTTGGGGGGGGGGATTTTGTATCTGTTTTCACAAAAATATTAGGCAGCTGAAGGATCATGTGACACTGAAGACTGAAGATTCTGAAAATTCAGCTTTGATCACAGGAATAAAATACATTTAAACTATATTCAAACAGAAAACAGTTATTATAAATTGTAATAATATTTCTGTTTTTACTGTATTTGAATCAACTTTATTTTCATTAAGCGATTTTTTAAATAAATGCAGCCTGTAAATAATATTTCAAAAACAATGAAATATTATAATTATTCCAAACTTTTGTTCTAAGGGTAAATTAAACAAGGCCTTCAGTGGAAAAGCAACGTCAGCATGCTTTATTTGCTCACACTGGACCAGATACTATTTCTCAGCAAGCTGATACAATGTGAGAAATCTGTCATGCTTTCTGTTCGGGTTTATTTTCAGAGCACTGCAAAGTTCAGTTTTCAAAGACATCTTCTGGTGTATTATACTGAATGTGATACATAAATTGCTGTCATTGTCATTATTCTTTCAGCAGAATTTCTTCCTAATGTTTAGGGATACAACATTATATTTTTTTTGTTCATTTGATCATTGTTTTTCTGTTTAGTCTCCAGACTGTGTATAGGATCCACTCAGTGGCCTGCACAGGAAATGAGGCCCATCTTTCAGCATGCTCTGTGGAGTTCAGCAAGGCAAACTCTAGCGCCTCCTGTCCCGACGGAGGAGCTGCTGTAGTCAGCTGTGTGCCCGGGCCGCTGTTCACACAGGGCAGAGCTCGCAGAGTCAAGCTGAATCCAATGGTGATCAGATAAAACTCATTTTAATAACTGATTTCAAATCATTAAGATTTATGAAGGTAATAACAGTATAACAAAGAACACCTGCATTATGGCTTCCAGTGACCATGTTCCTTCTCATTCTCCAGTCTCAGGTGCGTCTGAAGGGCGGGGCAAAGACAGGTGAGGGTCGTGTCGAGGTCCTAAAGGGGAGTGAGTGGGGTACGGTGTGTGATGACCACTGGAACCTGCAGTCCGCCAGTGTGGTGTGTAGAGAGCTGGGCTTTGGCACTGCTAAAGAGGCTCTGACCGGAGCACGAATGGGCCAAGGTGGGCTCCCATATAACTAATAGATAGTAGGTCTTCAGCCGATCATAGTTGATCCATGATCCATACAGATATACTCCCCATTCAAAAACTGTTATGATCTCTTGTCCATAGGTATGGGTCCCATCTACATCAATGAAGTTCAGTGTCGAGGTGATGAGAAGAGCCTGTGGGACTGTCCTCATAAGAGCATCACTGCTGAAGACTGCAAACACATGGAGGACGCCTCCGTCATCTGCAACATCCCCTACATGGGCTTTGAGAAATCGGTCAGACACATACATGATGATTCCACTGCTAAAGTAAACTATAATGTGTTTGGAGAAAAAAACTGCCTCAAATCGGCTTTTATTCAACATTTAACAATTAATATACTTAAATAGAATTGTCTCTGATGTACGAGTCAACACACAGAAAACCTTTAAGGCTCTCATCAAAGTGCCTTCCTATGCAGCTAACATAACGCTTATGTGCATTTTTGTGCATTGTGCAAATGTTTTTCCTTGCTCAGCTATGAAAACTAACAATGCTTTTCAAGGCTGATCCTAACTAAAGCATTGCACCACCAAAATCTGTAAAGTCACTTAAAACGAGCATGTTTTTATTCAAATAGGTGATGCAATGCATGGTAAAATCAAGTTCTCACAGCCCTAGATCAGCGCTGCTCATCAGGTTAAATGATCAAAGTCAAGTTCCTTAAGTCTTTTAATTCTTTCTCATGCTTGCTTTGTAACCCATCACAGATCCGCCTGACAGGGGGTCGAACGCAGTTGGAAGGGAGGGTTGAGCTGCTGCTTTCTACAGGCAGTGGGGTGAGGAACTGGGGTTTGGTCTGCGGGGACGGATGGACGTCTCGGGAGGCCATGGTAGTGTGCAGACAGCTGGGGTTGGGACATGCCAGCAGTGGCCTGAGAGTAAGATAACCACTGTATATCATACAACACATGCACACACATATGGTAGATAAATAGGTCAATATAGCATGAATTTTGGGGGGGGTTGCACAGAAACCGCATCTCAAGCACCATATGAAAATCTGTATTTACAAAGGTCAGACTTACAGAGACACAGAGCAATCAGAGGGTTGAAATGTGTAACCGTAAAGAGATAGCTAGACAGACAGACAATTTGTTGCAAGGGTTTTCAAAATCTGAAAATTATGTTTTTAGGCAGTTCCAACAGATCAAGTGGTGACAGCATGTTTTGGCACAGTTTTTAACCTGCAGTGTACGAATAATAAGTAGACCCAGACCCAGAATCTGCACGCTTTCCACATTTTCTGTGTTGATTATTATGTGGGAAAATCTGGAACAAATCTTTACGATTGATGTGTGTTTCTGCTGAACTTTCTGTGGGCGCAAATTCTGTGCAGACTTTGAATTCACAAGATTGCTGAATGAGTTTAGCATCTGAACAGAAAAGATTGCTTCTTGAAAGTAGTAAAGGAAGGTTTTCATGGATCATCATGATCCATGAAAACTATTTTGTGGTATGTAATTAGGCATGAAAGTTATTGTTTACACATACAGTGGGTACGGAAAGTATTCAGACCCCCTTAAATTTTTCACTCTTTCTTTTAGCAGACAAGGTTTTTTCTTCATGCCTTCATGCATTAGCAAAGCTGGGTAGATTACTTACAAATTGTAGTCCGTTACTGATTCCAAATTACATGATAAAAATTGTACCATATTGATATATAAAAAAAAAAAAGAGTAAGAAAATATATTATTTTTGTAACCTAAAGTGCATTAAACATTACATTATCAGGGTTTCCCAACTGGGGTTCGTGAAGGAACTGCAAGGGGTTCAAAAAGCTAATAATTAATTAAATCATAAAAATGTAAAGTTAAATCAAGGCTTTTGAAAATAACATCAACCAAAATAAAATACTAAAAAATGAAATATTTTATTTGTTTACTGCTAGTTTATTGCTATTGTGTGAACAATGTGTAATCATGTAATCAATAAAAAAGTAACTAGTCTGATTCCTCTAGTCTGAGTATTTTATAATGTAATTTCATCTAATTACAGGTACTTAATTTTTGGAATCTGATTACGTAATCCAGATTACATGTAATTAGTTACTACCCAGCTCTGTGCATAGGTTTGCCACAGCTAAAATACACCGCAAACAATTATTCTATCAGTATTTTTTTTTGTTTTCCATTACAAATATCTAAACAATCTTAAATAAAGATATATTCACTTAAGATGGCAAAATGACATTAATGATATCAAGAATTGTTTTCTTAAATTGTATTAAAATTAAGTTTAATCTTAAAACTAAAAAATCTGCCAATGGGGTCAGAAAAATAAACTTTCAAAGGGAAAAGAAGGCATTGGCATAAACTCAATTTAAACTCATTAAAGGTGCCATAGAATGCACGTGGCTTAGGTAAGGGCAAAACATCTCCAGAAACGGTTTTACATGTCCATTTACAACCCAAGGATTTGTCCCTAGAATGAAATGGTCTGTTTTTACCTTATTTGGAAGGGTCATGAATAATAACGTTGGGCTCTACTCTGATTGGCTGTTTCACAGTGCAGCTCATTTCAGTAGCTCACACAGCACGAAGGAAACACAGGGAAAATATATATTTCAATACTGTCTCTCGCAGTTATATCGTTGGGTAATTATACTATATATAAAATGCGGGCATCAGGGAGCCGTTATTAATATGTGGGGCATTGAAACTGCTTTCAAATGCACGATCGCTTTACTTTCACTTTCCAGATTTGCGATCGCACGTGATCTGTGTAAACTACAGCGGCAGTATACTTAACACACATTTTACAAGATCCAGATGCTTGTCAGTGGTGCTCAGGATCTGTATATCAGTCGCCATCATCCTCAGTCATCTCTCCTTACTCTGTTTATGTGGTAAGTGAAATCGTATGTACTGTGATGTAACAGGCTAACGCTAGCAAGCAGCTAACATGTCCCTTTAGTGGCTCGTGTTATTTGATTAGAACGCGCATTATTTGTTTTCCGTGCCTTTCTGAATACAGACGGCGTAACTATTAGTGATCCCGACTGTAACGTCACAGTCGGTGTTATGTTCTGATTCACCTATTTTTCAGTGTTTTTTTGCATGCACGAGATGTACATAAGAAGGAGGAAACAGTGGTGTTTGAGGCTCACGGCATGTAATTTCCATGTACAGAACTGTTATTATTCAACTATGCCAAGGTAAATACAGTTTTCCATTCTTTGGCACCTTTAACTTAAAGGGGTCATATGATGCTTTTTTTAAAGATCATTATTTTGTGTATTTGGTGTAACAGAATATGTTGACATGCTTTAATGTTCAAAAAAACACATTATTTTTCAAATACTGTACATTATTGTAGGTCCT